ATATATATATATATATATATATATATATATATATATATATATATATATATAAAAGGGCTGTCAAACTATTAAAAAATCAATCATGATTAATAAATAGTCGTGATTAATCACAGTTTTAATTGCACTGTTAAACAATAATAGAATACCATTTATTTAAATATTTTTTGATGTTTTCTACATTTTAAAATATATTGATTTAAATTACAACATACCCTTACTTCTACACAGCTGCTATGGCTTGTGGTGTCTGGCACTTGGCTCAAGGCGGGCTCCATGCTGTTGCCATCCCACAGCCCTCTGGCCACTCCTGGCTCACCAGGGATGCAGTTTCAGATTTTGGTTTGGTGTGAGTGTGTGTGTGTTGGGCAGGTGGGGGGGGGAGGAAGTATGTGTGTGTGTTGGGCAGGTGGGGGGGGGGGAGGAGGAAGTATGTGTGTGTGTTGGGGGAGCACTGTCTCTAAGCAGAGCACTCATGAGCCTGAACACTTTTTCAGCCAGCCGCATCTGCTCTCAGCAGCACTCACTCCTGAGTCAGCAGCAGACAGGATCCCCCTGTTCCCTGACCCCCAGCTCAGCGGTGACCGCGTACATGGGCAGCGGGAGAGGGACATCCCAACATCAGCCCCCGCCCCCCCGCAACCCGCACTCTGCGCAGCAGACAGGAGGCAGGTTCCTGGTCCTAAGCAGGTTGGCCAGGGGTGGCTCCATGTGGGGGAGGGAGGAAGTGGGAGCAGCAGTGGAGCAAGGCGTCAGGAGGAGGGGCATCCCTGCCCCGGAGGCACGCAACGGTGCACCCCTAAGCAGGGCACCCTAGGTGGTGGCTCCCCTTGCCACCCCTAAGGCTGGCCCTGTCCAGGGGGAGGGGATGAGGCAGGCGAGGGGATGAGGCAGGCAACGGGATGCCTCTCTCCCCAACCAGCCGCTGCTGAGCCCCATCTCCAGAGATGTGTGATTAATGCTCGTTTAAAAAAATAACACATTAATTTGTTTTGAGTTAATCACATGTGTTAACTGTGATTGACAGCCCTAGTGTATATATATTATTCTCACAGCAAAATAGACTCTCAGACTTTAAGGTCAGAAGGGACCATGATGATCATCTAGTCTGACCTCCTGCACAACGCAGGCCACAGAATCTCACCCACCCACTCCTGTAACAAACCCCTAACCTATGCCTGAGTTACTGAAGTCCTCAAATCGTGGTTTAAAGACCTCAAGGTGCAGAGAATCCTCCAGCAAGTGACCCGTGCCCCACGCTGCAGAGGAAGGCAAAAAACCTCCAGGGCCTCTGCCAATCTGCCCTGGAGGAAAATTCCTTCCCGACCCCAAATATGGCGATCAGCTAAACCCTGAGCATGTGGGCAAGACTCACCAGGCAGCACCCAGGAAAGAATTCTCTGTAGTAACTCAGATCCCACCCTATCTAACATCCCATCACAGATCATTGACTGACCAAGTATTATTATTTTATCGACTGCAATTGGTTAATAACATAGTAAAAGCATCCTGACTGGTTAATAACTTTGATTAATAATTAAATCACACAGTGTTTTAATATCATGTGCTGCAAAGAGCTGCAAGAAAGACATTAAAGAGCCAACTGTGGCTCCCGAGCCTCAGTCTGAGTATCACTGAACTAGACACTTAATTTCTCTGTTTCTCCCTCTGTAAAAAGGGGATGATAGTAACTACCTAGCTACCTTAGAATGGTGTTCTGAAGGTTAATTAGTTATTGTTTGTACAGTGCTATATGAGTACTATGTACAATTATTATAATGTTAGTTTCTAAGATGTCTGCAAGGGAAATAGTTGTCTAGTGTTACTGTAATTTGTGATCATATTGGGAATCTGCATTCAGGTTCTGAACACAATTGATGACTCCCCAGGCAGGCAGGAACTAAGCAGCACATTTAGCTCTCTAAGAGGATGGAGGAAATCTCTCTCTCTCTCTCAGTTCCCGCAGGCAGCTCCAGGAGTAGCATTGATAGACTCTAAAGGGAGTCATGTCTAACTTGGAAGGATGATTGAGACCTAGACAAATAATTTGAAAGGGATAAAGAAGAAAATGGGCAGAACTCATCCCTTTAGCCCTTCTGTGATTTAAATTAGCAGAAAACCTTTGAAAAGAATTTAAAGAGAGCAAGATGATACTGGAGGATCTTGATTTCTCCAGGTCCCTTCTTGTGGAGGAGAAGGAAGGTATTAAGGCAGATGGAATTTATGCCAACCCAGCTGGGATCAGGAGTTGTCAACAGAATGCTAGCCATTAGTCAGTCAGTCAGAATCCTGTCATGTGTCTGGCTTTATCTGGTGGTAGGTAACAATTGTGGAGACAGGGAAATTATTCTGCAGCATATGGGAAAGGGTAGCTTCAATAATCACACAGTAATAACCACAGTAAAAGGAGTTTACAAAAACAAATAACCTCCACTTATGAAAAATGCTGCTCAAGCTAAGTGCATGGGAGACAGAGTTCATGTCAAATTTCCTTGAAATTAAGGGACCTGGAGAATTAGAGCCTGTTTTTCAAAGGTTCTGAGCTGTTTTCTTAATGTTCCGCTCTTCATATTATATACTCAAAGCATAGACACCAACTAAAACAGAGAGGCTATGAAACTAGAGTTAACAATAAAATAAATACTTATTTCAATGTTTCACTTTTAAAACCTTATGGTATTAATAGGGTTTTCATATTTTTGTCCGGCAAGGGAATTTTCTTATATTATTCTTCTACATTTAAGGGATAGATTCAATCTATCATATACTGTTCTAGAGAGAGTTTTCCTTTTTAAAGTTTCCTTTAGCTCACTTCCTATCTGCCCAGTTCTCCCTGTTTCCCCTCTCCTCTTTCTACTAAAGAAATGCTCTTCAGCATTTGTTTCTCTGTTCTCTGCATTGTTGTGTGTGTCCATCCCCTTCCCATATCTTATCCTTTCTTTGCTTCTATCTACTCTTCCAGTCAGAGAGCATTATTTTATTTCGGGTGGGGAGAAGGGTTTGATAATAAAAGTATTTCAGTCGGGCTCATACTCAAGCTTTGTGGTACTTCTATGCGGCCTTTGCCATTGTTAGAAACTGAATGGAGCCATTCAAACTGCTGTCAGAACGGCAGGGAATATTCTACAGAGAATCAACACCATGCTGCCTGCAAATCCTACAAGATTCTCTTGTATAACAGGGTAAGGAAAGCAGGAAGTCTCAGAGAGCATGTAGCTTTGTTGTTGTTTTTTCTTGAT